GCCGCCTCCTGCACGCCCCCGACTGGGGATCGAGCCCGCAACTTGGGCAAGTGCCCTGACCAGGAATCGAACCCTGATCTCCTGGATCCTAGGTCGATGCTCAGCCGCTGAGCCACACCTGGCCGGGCCACACCCTACTTCTTGAAATCCAGACACCCACTCCCTCCTGGGCCCCCCTCTTCTTCCCTGATCAGGGGATCTTACCCCCCTATATGCTCAGTCACCATTCATGTACGCTGGCGGCTCCACAGTTCCCATTCCTCACCCTGAACTCCAGAACCACTGTCCCGTCCCCTGTTGGGACATGGCCAAACAATTCACCTTTACCCCCGCTCACTAGTCCTACGGTTACCACCCAGGTTCCCGGCTTCATCACTTTTTGTCTGGCCAATTGCCTCAGCCTCCTTTTGCCCCCCAACCCATCTCCGGCTGATGGCTGAAGTGACCCTTCTAGACAAAATCATAATTATATCACTCCCTTGCTTAAAATCCTGCTATGGCTCCTGGGATCTATCCAGACTCCTCGGCTAGGTTAGTCCTGTTTCGCTCTGGCCTCACCTCCCACCATTTCTCCTGTGAACCCTGCTCAGCCCCCTTCCCATCCCCTCTCTATGTTCTTGCTTTTGAGCCTTGAACACCTGCTCTTTAAGCCTGAAATATCTTGCCCTCCCCCTCCTCCCCACCTCTGCTTGGCAAACATTACTCATCCTTCAAGGCCACCAGAACTACCACCCCGTCCGCAGGGACACTTAGTCACTTCTTTCTCTACGCTCCCACCACCCTGGGTAAATGCTTCCATCACCTTTTAGCAGACACGCCTACTATGTGCCAAACAGTGTTCCTGAGCACTTTGCAAATATTAACTTACTTAATTTTCTAAATAGCCCTGTGAGGTGATTACGATCACTATTCCTGTTACAGATGAGGAACCTAAGGCCCCAGCTCACTCAGCTAAAGGAGGCAGAGCTGACGCCGAAACCCAGGCCATGTGGCTCCAGAGTCTGGGCTCTGATTCATCCTACTGTGTGGCCCCTCTGCTTGCATAAGTATCATTGAATACTTAGTATTAAGCTAAACAGTATAAAACTTCCAATATTTGGCTGTTTTGACCAATAAAAGCAGCACATTTGTCTGGTTCAGTGTGCCGGGGGCACTTGGGACACAGCAGGAAACTCTCTGGACAGACACAGCTCTGCCCCCAGAGAGGAAGCAAGATTACAGTGTGATGACAGGGGAGGAACAAGGAGCAGAGTGAGCATGTGGCCTGATTTAGGGGTCTGTGGGAGCCCCCTGCAGAGGAGGTGATAGAGTCTAAAAGACCTGAAAGAGGAGTGAGAGGTAAAGGAGGGGTTGGAGGGAGAGGGTAAAAGAAGGGACTTCCAGGCAGAGGCGCTACCTGGAACAGCATAGGCTAAGGCCTGAAAGCTAAGAGAAAGAGCTGCTCTCTCTATCACCCAAAATTAGCACCTGGCACTGAGCGGCTGCCCAATAAAGATTTGTCAAAAGAATAAACAAAAATGAAAAGAAGTCAAGAGAGCTAAAGCTAATACAATGAAAGTGGGGTGTTTTTTGTTTTTTTTTAAAGTTTGTTTTTATTGATTTTAGAAAGAGAGGAAGGGCCCTAGCAGGTTTGGCTCAGTGGTTAAAGCATCAGCTCGTGGACTGAAGGGTCCCAGTTTTGATTTCAGCCAAGGACACGGCACATACCTCGGTTGGAGGCTCAATCCCCTGCCCTGGCCCCATGTGAGAGTCAATCAATCAATGTGGTCTTTCTCTCTCTTTCCCTTCCACTCTCTGAAAAAGCAATGGAAGAATATCCTCAGGTGAGGATTTTAAAAAGAAAGAAAGAAAAGAGGGGAAGGGAGAGGGAGAGAGAGAGAGAGAGAGATGAACATAGATCGGCTGCCTCCATGTGCCCTGACTGAGAATCGAACCTGAGACCTCTCAGTGCATGGGACGACTCTCGTCCAACTGAGCCACACCGGCCAGGGTGTTTTTTTGTATGTTTTTTGGGTTAATCCTTACCCAAGGATATTTTTTCCATTGATTTTTAGAGAGAGTGGAAGGCGGGGAAGAGAGCGAGAGAGCACTGATGTGAGAGAGACACATCGATCGGTTGCTTCCTGCTGGTGCCCGACCAGGGCCCAGGATGGAACCTGCAACCCAGGTATGTGCCCTTGACCAGAAACTGATCCGGCGACCCTTTGGTGCATGAGCCGATTCTAACCACTGAGCAATACCAGCCGGGGCCAAAATGGGGCTCTAAACAGGCAATCGATCCACTCAAATTTACTTGTTTATTGTTTTACTTTAAAGTCAGGTTAAAGGAGGTATAATTATAGACAGTAAAATTTACCCTTTTCTCTATGAAGTTCTATGAGTCTTGGCAAACGCATCAGTCATGTAACCACCATCACAGACAAGGTTTAGACCAGTTCAATCACATCAGAAACCCCTCGGAGCTGCCCCTTTGTGGTCAGCCCCTCCCCCCCAGGGAAACATCCATCTCTTTGTGGTTACGGGTTTGCCGTTTCCAGAACGTCATATGAATGGACCCAGACAGGATGTAGCCGTTTAATCAGCTTCTTTGCTTAGACTATACACTTGAGATGTATCCTATGTGTGCCTCAGTGGCTGGTTCCCTTCTTTATTGCCGAGTAGCGTTACATCGTATAGATGCATCAGTTTGTTTATCTGATACTCACCAGTTGAAAGATTCAACTTGCTTTAAAAAGCAAACAGCACTGAGCAGAGCCTGACTGGAATGGGGCCCTGCCTCTCTGCTGTTTGTTCCAGGCCTCCTGCCTGGCTGACCTGAAAACAGAGGAGATGGCTATGTATGTCTTTGTCCCTTGTACTGACTTTGTTCCCAGCGCCCAGCCAGGGCACAGCTGGCTCTGAGTGAGGAATGGAGACCATTTGGGACAGTTGTGGGAGAGACTGTGGGGAAGGAGGCCCAGGTTCAATGGCAGGACTGTGGCTGAGGGTAAGGGAGGAGGGGTGAAGATCGGGTACTTGGCTTTGGGGAAGGAGGGCCGGCTTCTGAGAGTAGAGGACAAGCCAGAATGTATGGCGTTACTTCAGCTGGGAGCGAAAGTGGGGGAAACACAACGCTGCACAACACAACCCCTTCACAGGCTGTGGCTGGTCTTCCCGCCCCGCTGAGGCTCCTATGAGACTGCAGATCTTCTCTTGGCCGACAGGTGGCGATGATGCACCACGCCTGAGCTTGGCCTCCGCAGTCACCTGTCATTCAACACCCTTGAGGGGCAGGTTAGCCCATCTGATATTTGGCCCTGAAGGACCTTAGAAACCACCCATGTGGTTATGTCCATAACTACTGTTTTACAGGCAAGGGACTCAGCCACACTCTTGAAGCTGTGTCCCAAAGAGAGGGGGCTCAAAACCAATTTCCCTTTATACAGCACCCATTTCTAGATAGATGACAGTTTGTTGGAACATCAGGTGTGGGAGGGGTCTCCAAGCTAGAGGGCAAAGTCAGAGGGACAGCCCGCCATGACTACAATGCCTAGCTGGTCTGACCCTGCTTCCAATTTGCTGTGTGACCTCAGCCTACTTGCCTTTCCTCTCTGTTCCTGGTCTCCACCTAGAAAAAGCGGAACTTCTAGCTTTAAAATACTTGGTGTTATGGAGAAGCCTGGGATGAAAAAGACACACAGCTTATCTTCTATTGGGGGCTTCAGATCCTAAATAACGAATCCTCTATGCAGGCGAACTGGGAAGGTGGCAGGGTGACTGAGGTGCTGTTCACTTCTCTCCTGGCTGGTCAACAGCTGTTGATCCAGCACTAAGTCTGCCAGGAAAAGTACAGGACACAGTTAACATTTCCATTTCAGATAACCAACAGATATATTTTAAAATAATTTTATTGATTGATTTTAGAGAGAGAGAGGAAGGGGGGAAAGAGAGAGAGAGAGAAACATCAATCTGCCCCTCCATTCATTTATACATCATTGGTTGACTCTGACATGTGCCCTGACCAGGGATAAGAACCTGCAACCTTGGCTCATTGGGACAAAGCTCTAACCAACTGAACTACCTAGCTAGGGCACCAACAGATATTTTTAAAGTATATGTATATTCTAAATATCACCTAGGATATATTTATACTAAAAAAAAAAAAAAAATCTTTGATGTTTGTCAGAAATTTAAATTTAGGTGTTCTGTATTTTTTTTATTATTCTTCAAAATATTACAGATGTCCCTTTTTCTCCTCATTGACTTGTATTTTTTTTAAAAAAATTATATCTTTATTGATTTCAGAGAGAGGAAGGGGGAGGGAGAGAGATAGAAACATCAATGACGAGAGTCATTGATCGGCTGCCTCCTGCACGCCCCCTACTGGGGATCAAGCCCACAACCCAGCCATGTGCCCTGACTGGGAATGAAACCTTCATCTGCTGGATCGTAGGTTGATGCTCAACCGCTGAGCCACGCCAGCCGGGCAGGTGTTCTGTATTTTTATTTGCTCAATCTGGCAACCCTGACCAGTTCACAGGACCCCCTACTGAGCCCTCCCCAGCACCTCTCCCCCCTCTAATGCCCAATTTCCCTGGTTGTTAAATCAAATTGGCCCTTGAACAACATGGGTTTGAACCACGTGGGCCCACTTACATGCAGGTTTTTCCAATAAGTACCTGTACCGTTTTTGATCCCTGGTTAGGAGTGTGCGGATGCTGAGGACCAACTGTGTGCATTGATCTACACCATTTTATATAGGGCACTTGAGCATCCATGAATTTTGGTATGGGGGGGGTATCCTGGAAGCAATTCCCACTGATATCAAGGGACAACTGAAGTTTTAGGGGAGTCATAAGCGATACAGGAATTTTCAATTGCACAGGGGTTGCCAACCCTAACCCCCGCGTTGTTCAAGAGTCAACTGTATTTTGACAGTCACCCCTGACTATAAGAGAGGCNTTTTGACAGTCACCCCTGAGAGGCCAAAATGTAACGCTGTCCTCTCTCTCTCCCTGCAGGCCTGGCGCTCCTGCTGCCCCCTGCCTCGCTGGCCGCCCTGGCCGACAGCTGGCTCCGAGAGGACTGTCCGAGCTTTAACTACACAGCCTTGGTCACAGGGACAGCCCCCTCACAGGCGGCACTGTGGGCCAAATCCCCTGGGGTGCTGGCTGGGAGGCCTTTCTTCGATGCCATCTTTGCCCAAGTCAACTGCCAGGTGTCCTGGTTCCTCCCTGAGGGATCAAAGCTGGTGCCTGTGGCCAAGGTGGCCGAGGTTCGGGGCCCTGCCCACGGCCTCCTGCTGGGGGAGCGGGTGGCCCTTAACACGCTGGCCCGCTGCAGTGGAGTTGCCACCTCTGCTGCCGCGGCTGTGGAGGCCGCCAGGGCCACCGGCTGGGCCGGGCACGTGGCAGGCACGAGGAAGACCACGCCAGGCTTCCGGCTGGTGGAGAAGTACGGGCTCCGAGTGGGTGGAGCCGCCTCCCACCGCTACGACCTGGGCGGGCTGGTGATGGTGAAGGACAACCACGTGGTGGCAGCCGGTGGCGTGGAAAAGGTGGATGTCTGGCTGAGCCCCTGCCCTGGCCCTGCTCCACCCCCATCTTAGCCCTTCCCCTCTGCCAGAGGCCCTGGCCAATAGTGATGGCTGGGGGTCAGGGATGAGACCCCCCCCAGAACCCTCAGTCACTCCATCTGTAAAATGGGGTTGGACTTGCTTCTTTACGAGCATTTTCTGCTGCTTGGTGTGATGTTTAAGAGCAAAAGACAAACCGTGGGGAGCCCAGTGTTGATGGCTGTCCAACCTTGGGCAGGCCACTCGAGTCCCTGGACCTCTCCCATTTGCAAAAATGTTCTTAAAGACCCCTTCCGGTTTAATGTTCTGAGTCAAGTTGAATTCAGATCCAAATGCCAAATACTGCTGATATTTGGCCATTTTTTTTGACCCACCAGAGTGGCAATTTCATGTAGTTTCACCTAATATGAAAGAAACCACCCCAGCACCCGGTTTCCTCATTGGCCCCAAGCTTGTGGTGCCCCCGGGACCTTCTGAATGCCAGTCCCAGCTGGCTCACGCGTCCCTCTGGCCCGTCAGGCAGTGGGCCTGGCGCGGCGGGCCGCCGACTTCTCCCTGAAGGTGGAGGTGGAGTGCGGCAGCCTGCGGGAGGCCCTGGAGGCGGCCGAGGCAGGAGCGGACCTCATCTTGCTGGACAACTTCAGGCCGGAGGTGAGGTGGGGCCTGCTTCCTGGGAAGGGCCACATTAGGGGCTGTCACCTCCCCTCGGCTTGTGTCCCGCAGGAGCTGCACCCCACGGCTGAAGCACTGAAGGCCCGGTTTCCCAGCGTGGGCGTGGAGGCCAGCGGGGGCATCACGCTGGGCAACCTCCCTCGGTTCTGCGGGCCGCACATTGACGTCATCTCTTTGGGGATGCTGACCCAGGCTGCCCCGGCTCTGGATTTCTCCCTCAAGCTGTTTGCCGACGGGGCCACTCCAGTGCCCCATGCCCGCGGGTCCTAAAACCGAAGAGGATGACACCGGCAATGAGATAATGTGGTTTCTTGGAACTTTACCTTTGCTCACCCATTTCCTAATCTGTAAAATGGGTCTCATAAAAGATCAACCTTATAGATTTATTTGGTTAGTAATTAAACATAGTAAGTGCTCAGTAAATACTGGGAATGACCAGAGTTCATCTCTTCTGACAGGCACTTTTTTTCCGCACTCTGCCTTCTCTAAAGTCAAGGTGTGTCTTTAATCAATGTGTCTAATGGCCACTGTCAACCAGGCATCGGCCTTCAGGTAGCCGTTGCGGCCTGTACTTGCAGGTTATAGATAAAACCTGATAATCTATGTTGAAATAAGTCCCAAAGAGCTCTTTCTACAAATATAAGATATAAATAGTGAGTGATAACAAAGCTTTGGTCATAGTTCCATAGTATGGCAGTATGTGTTTTGCAATTGACATTAGATTTGAGGACATGGCATCAGGTATGAGATTCGGCTGGAACATTCTACTTGATTGATGCTGTAGTTGTACTGGTTACTGTCTTTGCCTCTCACCTCTGGCTACTGTTACCACCTCTTTGGTGGAGGTGAGAACCTGTCTCTTCCTCACTTGGGTCCCCAACAGACTTCACCATGCACCCTCCCCAAATGAAAGACCTCTATTTGGTGCTATACACCTTTTCAGGTCTGGTTCCATGGGGCCATCAGTTGGGAAAGGACAGTTGGTAGAACAGTTGGGCCAGAGCCAAGGTGTGTTGAGGGAGTGAGGGGTGGGGATGGTGGGGGTACATGTTCAGAGGTGAAATTTCCTTCTATGCAAAGTCAGGACCCAGAGGTCTAAGCAGAGAATCTGAGTCCTGCTCCCCAAACACACACACCTGAGGTCTCACTCATCTGTGTGGCCGCCCCTACCCTTACCTCCAGCCCAGGGCTCATCTCTCTCTAACCCTTCTGGGTGGTTCTGTGAGGCACTGGATGTGAAGGCTCCTTAAAATGAAGGTGGCCCCCAAGGTGACCCCCACCAGAAGGATTCCAGTCTGGAGCCTCCTCTCCCGTCCCAGAACCTACTTTTTTCTCCACCCTTTGCCAGGAGAGAAAACCAGCTCTCATCCCCAAAGGCTACTTCCCCAGGGGGAACTGGAGTCCCACTCTGCCTCTTGGGAGATAGCCTTCCCTTAGCCCCTTCTCCCACCCTGGAGACCAGCAGGGGGCCTGGGAAGGGGCCAGATCAAGGAGCTCACCCGAGATGTGAAAGCCCAGACACCTCACAGACCTCCAAGAGCAGGCTCCGAGCTCTCGGCGCAGATTCGCCTGGCAGAGATGCCGGCCGAAGTGGGCGCTGCCTTTGGTAATACCCTGAACTGCAGGGGTCCTTTTCACAGGACACACCTGGACCTTCTCCTGTCCTCGAATACACACCTCCACCTCTGAATCCTGTCCTTTCTCCAGGGGGAACATGAACCGCTCAGCCAGGCAGCCGTCCCCACTCCAAGAACTTAGATCTCTGAGCCCAGCTCCTCAGACCTGAAGGGGGAGAACTGAACCCCCATAGAACCAGGGGGTACTTCTGGGTGCCAGCACAGGGGAGTTGGGACCACGGATGAGCTGGAAACTGGAAAGCAAAACATGTGGGATCCAGGAGGGAAGCAGCCTGATAGAAGCAGAGGGAGAAGTGCACCAGGAGTCTCAAACCCAAATGCCTCCGGGACCCCGGCAGATGAAATAAGTGGGGGGAGCTGGAATAAGACAAAGGGGAGTGACAAATGAAATCTACCAGGCTGAGTCTCAAGCTCACCCGGAACCCAGGAATGGGTCAGCCCTCAGTCACCTGCAGAGGAAAACTGCATCCTGGGCAGGCGAAAGCAACACGTGCCCCCCTGCAGGCAGAGGAGACGGCTCGGGCAAAGCCTCAGAGGTAGGAACGGCTTGGACTGTTTGGTGTAAGATCTGAAGCTGGGATCAGGAGAGATGAGATGGTCAGGAGCTGGGCTGGGTCCAGACCACAAAATGGTAGGTCAGAAGACTTGGATCCTGTCCTGAGAGCAATCAGCTTGAAGCTGGAAAGTGAGATAAGCACACTTGCAATTAGGCCTCGTCAAGTGCAGGAAGATCTATTTGAGGAGCTGGAGTGGCTCAGGGAGACCCCGAGGGGGCTGGAGCAGCACTCAGCAGGCTTGAACGTGGGCCTCGGCAGCGGGACTGGAGGGAGAATGCAGGCAGAGAAACAGCAAGTGCAAAGGCTCAGAGGGCACTGACAGCCCCCTGGGGGGGCAGCAGGAAGAGAGAGGTGGGTATGGCTGTGGGGGTGGGGAGACGGGGTGGATGGCCAAGAGGAATAGCACCCTGAGCCGGTACTGCCCTGTCTATTTGGCTACCTCCCCCGTGCCTGGCCAGCCTGCGACCAGGTTTGGATGATGTCCTCAGGCTGCTCCACACCCAGGGTAAGGCCCATGCCCATTATGGCAAATGTGCCCGTCCGATCAGGGGCTGCTCAGAGACAGCATCGTCAGCACTGGCTGCTGCGTGAGGGGAACACACACTGGCTGAGTGCCCTTGCTCAGCACAGGTAAGTCTCTTTCCCTCTGGCAATGCTCACGGGGGTGGGTGCTAGCGTCTCCATTTTACCCGTTAGGAAACCCAGGCTTTATGAAGTTAAGAGAGCTGTTCAGGGTCAGACATCAATAAAGTGGTGGGGCAGGGTTTGAACACCTACTGTGTGCCAGGCAGTATTCTAGACAAACAAATATACAACGAGTAAACAGACAAAAATTCCTGTCCTCATGGAGTTTATATTCTAGAGTGGGGGAGGGGTGGAGTCGGGGTGGGGGGGGTGGAGGACAATGAAAAACTGCCTGAGAATGCCAAATGTCAAGTCCCCTCTTGGCCACCAGAGGGCACTGCAATTCCGCCATCTTCCACTCTCTGATTCCATCTCCCTTTCCAGGTTCCAAAGGTAACCGCCAAGGAGGCTATGCATACTAGGTGTAGCATCTGCTCAGGAATGCAAGCTGAGATGTGTGTGTGTGTGTGTGTGTGCATGTGTGTGTGTGTGCGCATGCGCTCGCAGCAGTTCCTTATTTACCTACCTTTCCGGCTTAATCCCTTATCAGATCGCCATCCAATTGCCCACTTACTCAGCTTTTATCTATCTTAATTCTCACCTACCCACCCCATCTACCCACCCTCCTTCCACCTCCCCATCCCACTTCCCACACCTCCACCCTCTCACCAACTGGGACACTCAGTCTAGAGGGTCTGGGAAGGAAAGAGGTCAAACCAGACTGACAGTCAGTGAACTCAGTGGGTATAAGTTTTAGAGTGCCAAGGCCAGTGAAAGCTGAAAGCATTTAAAAATGGCAAGACATTATTACCCAACCAAACTGTATCTGGAAGCAATTAAACTTTGGATCTCTAAAATATCCCACTGTGGTATTATGTGGTGTAGACACATGTATTAATTTATTGATAGCCCTTCAAGACAATATGGTAGATAAAATTCTATAAATGTTTCAGCACCTCTGTACTTCGCTCCAATCACTTCCTGAGTAAGAGAGCATTTGGGCAGTTACTCAGTAACATTTAAGACATGCTTTCTGGGGCCCTAAGTAGCTCAGCGTGTAAGACCAAACTACAAAGTACTGAAGAAAAGCTGACCACGAGGCTCTGAATAACAGTTCTATCAGTCTTATGATGTTTATGAGATTTGCCCCAGACATGTGGCTTTCTTTACTTCAGGTATGTAGTGCTTTTCATTTTTATTTTTTAAAAATATATCTTTATTGATTTCAGAGAGAGGAAAGGAGAGGAGGAGAGAGAGATAAAAACATCAATGATGAGAGAGTCATTGATTGGCTGCCTCCTGCACGCCCCCGACTGGGGATCAAGCCCACAACCTGGGCATGTGCCCTGGCCAGGAATTGAACCCTGATCGCCAGGATCCCAGGTTGACACTCAACCGCTGAGCCACGCCCGGCTGGGCTGTAGTGCTCTTGAGATCACTAGAATCTAGCACAGCACACCCAGAAAATGATCGGGGGCAGAGATCCTTTTGGTGGGTCCCTGGGTGGCCTCTTTCCTCTTTCCAAGCTAAAAGATTCAGAAGCCTTAGCACCAGCAAAGAGTTGTCCAGTCACTTGCTTCCTGATATTTGGCTGCTTTGTAACCAAAAGAAAGCATCTTTTGTTGTTTTATTTCTTTGCTTTGCATGTATAGCATGAATTCAAGCCTAAACTCTGCCTTGAGGTTTAAAATCTCATTACGTTCAAACACATCAGGTTTTTGCTGCAGAGCTGCCTCCTTGAGACCTCCCTCCACCGTCCACTGGGCCTTCCTTCACGTCTTCCTTGGGCCGGGTCCCTAGTTTCCTGGGTTCTGTGTCTCCCCCTTTCCTGCTTTATCCCTTGTTTGGGCTGGTCTATGCTCTAGAACCTTGATAAGCGAGGGTACATTTTCCAGTGTGGCTGGTGGGAAAGACCCTGGCCTTGTGTGAGCCCTGAGCATGCTGCTCCCTCTGATTCTTCAGGTGGCTCTTCCACCCGGGCCTTGGGTGGTTTCCTCACACACGTGTGCTGATTAGTGCTCTGCTGAATACTCAAGGGGGCCTCTCTACAGATCTTGGGGTTCTCTCTGGGCAACTCACTGTTCTCTGCGTTCTGATCTGCAGCCTCTAGCTGCTGTGGTCTCCCTGGACTCTCAGCCCCCAGAAGTCCTGGGACTCCCGCTTCACTCCCCCTGACTCTGCCTGCAGTTCGGAAATTCTCAGAGCAGTAAGCTGGACCATCCTGAAAGTGCCGGCCTTGACTGTTTTCCTTTCTCTCTGGGGTTTCATTGTTTTCCTTACTTTCATTGCTTGGTGTCCAGTGTTTTGAAAAGTTATTTCATGTATTTTTGTCTGGTTTTGTCTGGCAGTGGTGGTTATTTCGAGCAGGAGGGTGACCTCGGTGGGAAGCGGGAGCCTGGGCAGCGGTGTTTCTAAAGCTCCCTGGGTCATTCCAGCGCACAGCCAGGTAAGGGCCACGCCACAGACCTTTCTCTACTTCAAATGGTTTCCCAATCAGACAGTCTTGGGGTATTTCCTTCCCTCTGTTTTCTCTGGAGCTTCCATTAGATGAGCATTGAATGGAATGATCCTTCATCTCTTAACTTTTCTTCATATTTTCCATTTCTCTGTCATTTTGCTCTACGTCCTGAGAAATGTTTAAAACTCTTTCCTCCCATGCCTTCCTTTGGTTAACTTTTTAATTTGGTTAACTTTTTAATTAGTTCTATTTGTAATTTGCAGGACTCCTTCTGTTTCTTCGACTGCGGCGCCTCCCTGGAAGCCCTGCTTCTTTACACCCCCACCCCCACCCCCCGGCTGGCTATTCTGTCGCCTCGTCTTTTTCCTTTTTGGTGCCCTTGGTTCCCAGCTGGCCTCTCCCTGGAACAGGCTCCACGCTCCACGGGCAAGTGTGTTAATTCATTAAACTACTTCACTTAGATCAGAGGTTCCCGTTCTCCTCCCCTCCACCCGGGCAACATTGGTGATGCCTGGAGACTTTTGTGGTTGTCACAACTAGGGGACCCTACTGGCACCTAGTGGGTAAAGGCCAGAGATGCTGCTAAAATATCCTACAGTGCACAGGAAAGTCTCCCAGAGCGAAGAATGATTGTTGGTCCCAATGTCAGTAGCGTGAAGGCGGGCAGGCTGCCCCGCCTCGAACCACCCAAGGCCAGGATAGTGAGGGACGCTTCACACCCGCTCCAGGAGCACTTGTCCAGGGATCTCCAGCTGATGGTCCAGCAGCCACATGTGGCCCACAGGCTTGCTTCACTTGGCTTTTATGGATAAATAAATTATCAATATATGTCAATATTTTGGTTGATTTTACCTAAAACCCCAGGTTTTTAGCTTCTGGTATAAAGTCAGAAGCATGGACATGATTGGTAGCACCAAGTGGCAGATGCACTTAGAGAAAGCACGTGGTCTCTTTTTTTGTTTGTTTGTTTAAATATATCTTTTTATTGATTTCAGAGAGAGGAAAGGAGAGGGACAGAGAGAGATAGAAACATCAATGATAGAGAGTCATTGATCGGTTGCAGCCCGCAACTCGGGCATGGCACGTGGTCTCTTCTCACCTCCGTCCCCGGGTTCACATCACTCACCTACATCTCTGGGCTTGGCCTCTTTATGCCTGTGAATTCATGACCCTTGCACTCTTTTGGAGCGGGGGCTGATTTTGTCCTGAGGACAAATACTGACTGTACCCAGGGATGGTCATGGACTGGTTCTGAGATAATCTTTTAGTTAATCATCTTGTTTTCTCTTCCATTGGTACTATTACTTTATTTTTTTTTTAATATATCTTTATTGATTTCAGAGAGAGGAAGGGAGAGGGAGAGAGAGAGAGAAACATCAATGATGAGAGAGTCATTGATCGGCTGCCTCCTGCACTCCCCCGACCGGGGATCGAGCCCGCAACCCGGGTATGTGCCCTGACCGGGAATCGAACCCTGATCGCCTGGATCCTAGGTCGACGCTCAACCGCTGAGCCACACCAGCCGGCGGTACTATTACTTTAGAGTAACCGGAGAATATATACAGGAGGACCATATCTGCCACAGGTGGAGGTAGTGACTTGGGGCGTCACCAGGGCACGTGGCTTCTATGGAGAAGCCACAGCGTCAGCGAGGCTGCCCAGGAAGAGTGCGTCGAGGGAGAGCAAGCAGGCCAGGACTGACCGGAGGAAGGCAGCCAGCAAGGGTCGGAGGAAGGGCCAGGGAGAGGGAAGGCAAGCAGGGCTCGTGTGGAGTCGCGGAAGGCAGGGAAAGGGAATGTGTGAAGAACGGAATCAAAACGTCTCATGCTGTCGACAGGAGGCTCAGGGTGCCCTTGGGTTAAGATACGCAGGCTGAGGTCTCTGTAGAAAGTGCAGAGGCGCTGCAGCCGATTGCAGAGTGATGGGAGGTGAGAAAATGTGGGCTGCCGGCTGGCCAGACAGCTCTTTCCAGAAGCTTGTCTGTGAAGGAGGTGAGAAGCCATGTTGATGTGGTGAAGGGTGGAGAATTAGTTGTTTGGCTGTTGTTGTTTAATCTTCACCCGAAGATATGTTTTCATTGGTTTCAGAGAGAAAGAAGGGGGAGGAGAAAGAGAGAGAGAGAAAGAGAGAGAGAAACGTCGATGTGAGAGAGACACATGAGTCGGTTGCCTCCCACACTAGCCCAGACCGGGGATCGAACCTGCAACCTTTTGGTGCACACGACAGTGCTCCAACCAACTGGGCCACCCGGCCAGGGCAGTTGGCTTGTGGTTTTAAGTGGGAGAGATTTGAACTTGTTTATAGAGGAAATAGTCTGGTTTTGTTGTGATACTGTGACTGTTACAACCGGACAAGCACATGCCCGCCATGAAACATCTAGAAATGCTGCATAAAATCAAACAAACATCCTTTAAAATGCACAGCTGTGTTTCAAGCAAGTAAGGGGAAGTCCCCAGGAACCACACACAAGGAGGAAGTTGAAAACCAGAGCTGTGTGAGCTGCTGCGTGGTTGTGGAGCTTGGAAATGAAGGGGCTTGGGTTTTACATTCACCTAGAGGCTGGAGATGAAGCCTTGCCTGGAGTATTGACAACGGAGACCCTAATATAGAGGTGAAACCCTCCGCGAAAGAGCAGGCCAGGAAAAAAATCTTCCCATCAGCCCAGGGAGCAAAAAGAACCTTGTCTGCCTCACCCTGCGACCTGGGGGCAGTAGAAAGTCTCCACTGAGATTCGTAACCAAAGGTTTGCCCTCAGGCTTACACCATGGTTTCAGATCCCAAATAAAATTAACAAACAGTGCGGTCCAGCGTTGGCAATAGCCTTGAAGCATCCTAGGCAGGAGCAAACACAGAATCTCTATAGACACCCCTTCAAACTGGTCACATGGATTCCCGCTAATAAGGCCCTGCCGAAGCTGAGTTCACAGCCCGAATTAGAAAGCCTCGGAGGAAACCATCTGTCGTGAATGAGAGGACGGCCCCAGAACTCCAGCCAACAGAATGCACGAGTAAAGGACCACGCAGTAAGCATGTTTCAAATGCCCGAAGACATAAAGGAAGGACTGAGCACGAGAATGTAATCGGATGGTGTTAAAAAGGAGAGGAGAGGTCTAAAATTAAGAGAAAGGAGCAAGGTTTACACTGACGCATCCCTTAGTCCACGCCACTCATTCATTCCCTTTCCTTGGGCTCCGGTTATGTTCTAGACCAGGTTCTGGGGCTGGGAATATAAAGGGGACTTTGGGGATAGCAAAGTTGGACTCTGCCTCAGGAAGAGCTCATTCGCCCGAGCAGCATCCGTCTTTCATTCGATACATCCCAAGATGCCACCACTAGAAAAGTCCCAATAGGGCATCTCATTCTTGTTCAGAGAAAGAACTCGAGGCCCAGTAATATAAAAATCACTTTCCTGAAGTCTCCAAGTGAGTGGGTGACTGAGCCAGACTGAGAGCCGGGGCCTCGTCTCCAGGGACCCTTCCACGCTGTCCTGCTTCTGCTGAGCACTTGGTATGCAGGCGTCTAGGCTTGAAAACTGCACCTCTGTTCTCTTTCCCCTGTGGACTGATCACGGCTCATGGGCAGAGTTCCCACAACCCAGTCCTGTCAGCTGATCCTGATGAGAAGTGACATAATTACCCAGCTCATGAGAGAGATGGGACAGGAGCCCTGCCTTGTATCAGTTCTTATCTCACCTCCCCGCTGCCACTAGAGAGACTGTGAGCTCCCTGAGGACGGGCACCAGGGCTGATTCTCCCACCCCCAGGGCCTGGTTCAGGGCAGGTGCGAAGGCCACATGCTGGACGGGTGCACCCAGGGAGAGGTCCCTCAGCTTAAGGGCTTCTCATTCCCCTGCTGCTCCCTCAACTTCTAGAATCCAAGGGTTGAGAGGGGAGGTCCAGGCCCAAGTGCTCCTGGCCCTCTGGAGCAGGAAGGGCCAAGAGGTGACCCCTGCCTGGCAGCATTTCCCCGGTGTGGGTGAACGTGGAAGGTCCCTGGCCGGCATTAAGTAGCACGGGACAGCCGCCCCTGCTTCCTGTGCAGGCCTTGGTCTGTCTCAATCCTTCCGAGGAGGTGTCAGGGTGGCAGCTAGACTGTCTAACACTTGCTGACTCACTCGGTCCTTTTTTCTTTTTTTTAACAAAGAAAGATCAGCCCTTTGGGTCTGTGCCTCCAGCAGGGAACAGTGTCTACTTAGAACTTAATGTCTTTGTTTACAATGTATTTATTTTACTTTCTATTTATGGCAAGTGATACTGGTTTTCCATTTACAAAGGTGACACAAGAAAGATTCCTTTTAAAATAAATTTATTAAGCAAACAGTAAACAAATTCAAAGAAAAATATAAAGTAAATAATAGTACAGGTGGTAAACTGATATGGCAAAAATCCTAACATTCATGACTGCAGGTCAGAGTGGAAACTCCTTGGCCTCCCCTGGCCCCTGGCTCTGCTCCCAAAGAGGGGGTCAGCTGATACAAATGGCTATAGGGCCAAGGACATTTGGGGGCTCCATTTCTCCCAGGTGGAGCGTTATAAGTAAGCCTGCCTGGAGGGGGTGGGGATCTGTCTCTCTGGAACACTCAGCAAGCTGGGAGGGAAGATGGCTGGAGGCTGCATTTGGGGAGCTGCCCTGACCTGGAATGGTGTCCCACTGGGTTCAACCTCAGATGTCCTTGGCCCAGGCCTCCCTCACCATGGAGGGGTAAGATTCAGAGGGCGGGGACGTGTCAGCCTTCAGAGACGGGCAGAGGAGCAGCTGGTTTTCTTTGATTCTAGGTCCCAGCTGAAGGCAAGAGAGGGCCTCTCCAGCTTAGCTCTCCAATTTTGCTGCTGTGAGCTGGGGTCAAAGTCACGGTTCATATATCATAAGGTGCTCCTTTATGTGTTTTCCTGGAGGAATGGTGGCTCTGGAAACTGGATTCCTGTCATCTCCTGCTAGCACAACTGACACGCGTCATCACCAACTCAGTCTGCTTTTCAGCATCCACAGACCCTTCCCTCCAACACTGGCATCTTAGACGCACGGTGCAGGAAGGTGGAAGACTGTGTGATGCTCTTTCATGCCTGCCTCGTACCTTGACTTCTTAATCAGGAGTGTGATCTTGGCAGCTTCTGGCCCAGAGTCCGCCCCACCTCCACTCTTGGCACTGCAGCACCGCCTCCAGGCAGCTAAGCCTAAGCCGAGGCCCCTGTGAGCTTCCCAGTTGCATAGGCTCTGTCCACACCCAGCCTGCCCAGATCCAGGTCCAGATCCAGCTGAATTGAAACCCAGATATAAAAGGCCTGGGGCCTTCTTCCCTGGCCTCAGATGCCAGTTGGGTTCCCAGGCTGGAACATCAGGGACTTAAGGTCCCTCTGAGGTTGGCCTTCCTCAGAGGTCTCTGGGAAGCCAGTCCGACAGGCTCTGGGGATTCAAAACTGACGCTGGTCCGGCCTTCACGCCTCCAGAAAGCTGAGATCTGCTCCAGAGTGACCAGAGGCTGGAGGCCCCACTCAGGATCAGGGCTACCTGGCCGCTGCCTTCGGGACTGGGGGCTCCCCAAATTCATGCTGGCCTCTGGCCTCTGTTCAGGCTCAGCCCAGCTCACCAGGCCTGGGGCTTGGGGCCTCCCATCCCAGGCCTGGGGCCCCCAGAAGGTACTTGGGGGTGGGGCCTTGGGTGGGGTCTGGGGAACTAAGAAGTAGGAAGGGGGGTGTGGAGTTGAAGGGGCAGGTGGGGCTGTTGCTCGGGCCTCCAAGGTGCCCCCAGGGGTAGGAGGATCTGGGGCCTGGTCCATCAGCAGGGGCACCGCGGAGCCGTACCAGTCCTCGGAGCGCTCGCGGGGGCTGCCTGTGGGCTCAATCCACAGCTCTCCCCCAGGGCGCCAAACCAGGGTGGGTGCGTGGGTGCTGGGGTCTGGTCGCAGGGAGCGGCGGAACAGGCGCTCGGCCAGCACAGCTGTGGTGAGCAGGAAGAGGGCGGCCAGGGCAGCCAGCGCCAGCATGATGGGGATGCAGGGCCCACAGGGCAGAGGGGGCCACGAGGCCGGCTCCAGCGCAGGGGGCCCCTCCATGTGCCCAGAGGGCTTCTCTGGAGTCCACGGCATCTGGAGAGACAGGGATCGGGAGAGGAAGCACAATCCAGAGGCGGAGAGAGACAGCAAGTGCCCAGACAAGACTGACTAGCGAGACAGAGGTCGGGGGCTGGGAATCTGGCCTGAGAAACAGGCCCAGACAGGGACAGGAGCGGAGGGAACCCGGAAAGGGCCAGAGGAGCAGAGGGGGTGGGGGAGCACCCCTGGGCCTGCAGCCTGGCCTCCCTGCTCAGAACCCCCTTTCCCTCCCAGACCCCAGGTGCCTCGGACAAAGCTCTAAGGCCCCAAGGGCGCCTTTCCTCCGTCTCCTCAGCCCCTCAGGTCCTGCTGGGCCTAGAGGGAGGAAGCGGCGGGTCCTGTTCCCGGGTCCCCACCCACAGGGGCCTCCTGCGCGCCTCACCTCAGTCCTCGGCAGCCCGGCTCCCCTCTCCCTCCAGAGCAGCTCTTCCCTGAGCCTGTGGGAGGGCGCGGGGCAGGGCTGCAGATGCTGGCGGAAGGGCGGGCACCACCTGTTGCCTGGCAACTGTGTCCCAACTCCCCTGTCCCGAGGAGGGTTTCCAAGGCAACCTGGGGGGATGTGGTCACTGCGGTGGGGAGGCGGTTCCTGGCAAGAGAGGTGGGGCCGGAATGGGCGCTGGCTCTGTTGAACTCAGTGTCACCTCATAGCCAGGCCCCAGAACATTCACCCTGAGGCCAAGAAAGAGGGGACGCAGACTCTGTCCTGTCCATTGCCCACCTCCTCCACCCAGCACCAAGGAGCCTCCCTCTGCCTGCTCTGTGGCAGTCGCCCTGTCCCTGTCCTGCCCAAAGGAGCTCCTGCCACCCAGCCTGCACGCTCTCCCGCTTGAGCTGGCCTTCTCCATTCTTTCCATGAACATGCACCTGTGTCACCTGTGTCTGTACACCATTTAGCCCCAGTTTTGGTTAGAAAATATCTGCGAGGTGAGGCCTGGGTAGCAACAATGTCAGGCCTCTGGGAAGAGTCCAGGGTCAAAAACAGGCTTGGGCATGTCTCCAAGATGCCTGACATTGGTCATCTCGGTTCCTTTCTCCTGCGGCTGAGGGTGGGAAGGGCCTGGGTGGGGATGTGAAGGAGTGTCATCAGCTCCTGGACTGGAGTCCTTTCAGATTGTGTAGTTTGACTCACCTACTGACAGATGACAAGTAAGCCCCAAATAAGGGAGGTGTTGTGTCCAAAGTCACACAGCCCATGTATGTAGGAGAGATGGGGAAGCAGAGATAAATTCCTGATCTGGGAGTTCCCTGAACATAACACAACTCTTACTAGGTATTAATATTTTGTTTTGCAAAATGACAGCCATTTAGTGTGAAAAGCTACAAAAGTATGTTGAAATGTTAGTGTCTTACAAAAGGTGGTGCCAAGGGCAGTCTGACTTGATGGCTCTGCCCTGGTGGTTTGGAGGAAAGAGCCAAAAGGAAATGAAGTGCAGCAGGAGTGGGAGAGGGTGGAAATGAAGAGCTCAGTGGCGCTGGGCCTTATGATGTATGCAGAACCCTGATGAGGCTAGACTCTGATAAGATTGTAAGCCTTAAAATCTGAACAAATCTCGGAAGGTGGCAGCACTGTGAGAAGCCGCAGAGTGACTCTGCTCCCAGCCACGGACTCGATTTAATCCTAAAATCCTACACAAGCAGCTTGAAAAACCCAGAGAAACACACCTGAGTGGACGGAGTGCAAGTGGGGAGCACTAAAGACACATCACGGAGTCCGGTAAGAGAGGGGGCGCGTAGGAAGGGGGAGACCCCCTGAAGCCTGTGCTGGGCTCCGAGCCCAGAGGCTTGGAGGCGGCAAAGCTCCCTCCCTTTGGGAGTGCGGACCCGCATCCAAAAGCGGGGACCCCCACACCCGGAGTGAAGAGGGGAAGGAGCGCCCCACGCACAGGGCAGGGGATCCTAGGGGAGCGCTGAGTCTGGGAGGGGTCGGCACCTTCCTAGGAAACAGAGCCTCTAGTCGCGCCTGTGACCAGCGTCTGGCGCTCGGGGTGCCGACCATAGGGAAGGCTGTCCCAAGGGCTATGGCACTCAAGTGGCAAGGGACCAGAGGACTGCGCTGAGCAGCCGCACACAGGGACCCTCTGCCTCCCTGAGGGGCACTGTGTTGAGCCCCAAAAGCACGGACTCTGCGAGATGCGGGGGAGGGGAGGAGCCCTCCCCGCCCTGAGCTCCAGGTGCCGGGAGGCTGGGACCTGCGACCAGCCCTGAGGGGCACCGTGGTGGCGCATGAAGTCGCCCCAGTTTTGCTGAGACCAGCAGCGCAGGGAGCTGCGTGGAGCTGACTTTGGGTCCCCTCCCGCTGGGTGCCTCGGAGCGAGGGCGGTGGGACCCTGCAGAGCGGACTCTCTGCCTGTGTGTTGTTTTGTGCGTTTGCAAGTTCGATCATTTGCAAGTTCAATTGTTTGCAAGTTTGATCGCGGAACCGGTTCCCACCTTCCGGGCTGGCACTCTGCAGACAGACCAGGGGAGGCTGAGGTTGGGTCTGCACTGGAGACCGTCTGAGGGACGGGCCTGGTGCGACCAGCCAACCAGAGCTGAGCAGGGAGGGGCGGAGCCCGCCGGCCTGTCCTGCAGCAGGAGCACCGCCCCCAGCAGGAAAGGGGCGGGTCCCGCTCACTGAGGCCCCAGACACCCCCCAGGGCACAGTCCTGAGGGGGAAGGGAGAGCAGCTCACAGGAGGACTTTATAAGAATAAGACTCTCAGGGAATGTTGTTTGGGAGCTGGAGGAAACGCTGAAAACCCCTGCTGGGGGCTGGGCAGGCAAAGGGCTCACCAGAATGTGTCTTTAATCGAACCCACTGGGCCCTGGCTGCCCAAACGGCCCAGACAGAAAAGGCAACAGGCTGAAGTCAATCTGAAGCTGCAGCAGGACAGAGCCTGGGGGACTAGAATCAGAGGACAGGGTAGGGACTGAGGAGCTGGCGGTGGAGCAGAGACTAACTCCCGCAGAGTGAGGGCCTGACAGCGACACCTCTAGGGGGAGTGATACCCTGGGCT